CTACTTTCTAGGCATCTGAAAAAATTTCCCATCCTCCTTTGCAGTTCAGCATGGCTATGTTTTGGTCAATTGGCACGTGTGAGGACATGTATTTGCCACTTTCCTATGGCACAAGAAGAAACATTTATTTTCTTTTTTTTTTTGGTCTTTTCCCTTTTTATTGGTACCAGGGATCGAACTCATGACTGCCTGCTTGCAAGGCAGGCACTTATGCCGCTGAGCTAAATCCCCAGCCCCGAAACATTTATTTTCTTCCCTTGCTCTGTTGGCATTCGCACTGGTCAGAAGAGGAACACGGTAGCAGGGAGTTCTCTTTAGTCATACAGACAAGGACAACATTCTAGAGATGGATAAGGAGCTAGAAATTGAGACTACTATAAGGAGAAATCAACCTCTAGCTTATTATTATTCAGTCTGTTACAACAGCCATGTCTGTATCTTAACTGCATTGGAAATATGCATCCAGTTGTCAGTTGCTAACCAATGTGTTGACCTGGACTGGTGGTGCCATGGCCATGTGCTAGCCCACTGGAGCAGCATGGCTGTCTGCAGAGCAGAGCGTAAGCTGTGCATAATGTGCAGAAACAAACAGAAAATGGAACAAGGAGAATGCTGTTACCAGCCTTGCACTGAGAATGGCCATCTCATCACTGCGTTAAGACAAAAGTACAAATTAGCCACACAGACACTTTGGAAGCTCATTGAAAAGTTAAGCAGTTAAGCAGATGGGTTTAATTATTAAAAAAGAAAATTAAAGACAAAGTATGAAATGCTGAAAATACATCAGAAGTATAATTCAGAATTTTACACATATGCTTATAATAATAAAACTCACTCTGAGTAAAACTGCAGTTAAGACTTTCAGGTATTTGAAAAAAATATATATATATGATAAATTATATATGAAAGTAAGATGCTGTCTAGATCTCTCTCCTTAAGCTTCTCACTACCTTGCTTGTTTTGCATGTATTTGTATATACGCATCGTTTCTGCTCACACTAGGCTATACCACTTGAAATTGCCATCAGACTATTTTGAACTGCAAAACACAGCAATCTTACACGTTTCGCTCTTGAATTTGCTACTCATTTTACCTATCTCTGAATCTCTCACAACAACTTAAGTGTAAAATCATTAGTAAGAAATTTTTGGCACACGCTTGTAATTCCACCAATCTAGGAAGCTGAGGCAGAAAGGATCACAAGTCCAAACTCAGCCTGAGTAACTTAGTAATTTAATGAGACTGTCTCAAAATAAAAGAAAATACTTTTTAAAAAGAAAGACAGATGTAGTTCAGGGAAAAGCCTTGGGTTCAATACTCAGTAATTATGAAAAAAAAACTCTAGGATTAACTTTTATTGATCATCTAGTTGAAATGGTTCTAGTTTCTAGTTCCATCAGACAATACCAGCCTAACTTACTTTCTATCCTTAAACCTACTTGCAGGACATGAAGGGACCAATTCTTTCTCTTTCTCTCTTCAGGTAATTTTACTTTTGCTAGTGTTAACTTATTATACTCTGGACTTACCTCTGTTTCTTTCTCCTCTCTGAGTTCACGGACATTCACATCTTCTACAATCACTAAACTGGAGACACCAGCTCTCACCATTTATAGCCTCTTAGCTCTGTAGCTCAACATTTTAGATGCCTGAAGGCCTTCAACTACACCAAAGCCAACAAGTCCAAAGTAGGATTGCAATTCAAAATAGGTCTTCCCCCGAAGTCTCACTTCTACCATGGAAATCATAATGTTTCAAGTTGCCAGGTTAAATAAAGACACTATGAAGGCTCTTTACCCAGTCAGATAGCCAGTCCTGTCCAGTTTCTCAAATACCTGCTTAATACCATTATAGGATCTAAGTGTCACCTAAAGCCCATGTTAACTGGTCGCCAGCCAGCGGAGTTATAGTGAAGTGGTGGAACCTTAAAGAGACTGCGCCAGTGGGAGAAATGAAGCCACAGAAAATATGTCCTTGAAGGGAATATTAGGGTCTCCAGACCTTTCCTTTTTCTCTTCCCTTCCTGGCCACCTGACGGGAACATGCCTCTGCCAGACACTCCTGCCACAATGTCCTCTATTCCACAGGCATAAATAATAGGGTCTGAAGCAGCTATCGTCTGAAATCTCTGAAGACATGCATCTTTTTCCTTATAACCTCAGGTATTTTGTCACAGTAATAGAAAGTAAATACAAACACATTCTTTCTTCTTTTTTGGCTATCAAATGTGCATGGATTACTCCCCAAAACCTTGGCATTTTCTGGATAAAAATTCATTCTTTTATAATATTTTCCCCTAGATCTGTCTCCCAACACAAAAACTCAAAAAACCCATTAGCAACCTGCTGCATCAAATTTGAACTTCTCTGTTTGCTGTTGAGTACTTGTCTTTAAGGTCCATTCTACTTATACAACTTTACTTTCCACTGCTTCTGAAAATATCTCATCATCATATGTTATTAAAGCCCTTTCACTTTACACTGTTTGCATGTCTTCTGTCTCTCTTAACCAGGAATCCCATAGGACTCTGCACAGAGCATAGTGCCCAATGAGTATTTAAAAGGGTTTGTTGAATAGGTAGCTTGTCCCTGGGATAACATCAAGTAGGAAACTATTAGCATAAACCAGTGAATAAAGCAATGACTGAGGCAGAGAACTCCCCCCTTTCAGGTTCTTATCTTTCTTTCTACACTACTTTTCTTTCTTTAAATTATTTATCTAATAGACTGATTTAATTAATGCCCATTTCCTCACTCTGTTTTAAGAGCTATAAGGAAGAGGCAGCAAATATTCTCTGATATTTTCCAAGTCATTCTGAAGGAGCTCGAGAAACATGCAGTATATATTAGTCAGATGAATACATAAGACAACATCCCACATTACCCTCTATGTCCCCTCACCGCCAAATATTAAACTCCCCTCTTACCTCTACATGCAGTTCTCTCCTTTCCCACACAGATCTACCCTCAACCCAAGTCCCACTTGCTTCATGAGAACTCTTCTGCCTACTCTAGATTCTTTACCCATCTCTGATGATTTATCATTTATTTCTTATCAGAACCATTAATGACATTACTGCTTTTTCATCTAATTGCTTCCTGTATTCAAAATCTTTTGTCTTCAACCAGACATGATCCCTGTCCCATGATACACACAATAAAATTTTTCATGTACTTTCCAAAGCTTTATAAAATAGTGAGTACAGAGCTGGTTGTCAATTAATATTGGTCATTTGAGGGCCCAAGAAAGGGGTAAAAATCAAACACCAGCTTTATCAGAAGGGAAATCAGCCACAGAGAAAATACCCTCTTGTTTGTATGTTCTCTTAATCAAAGCAACTCAGATCATTTACAGAGTTACACATCTGAACATTTATTCACTTATCTTTGGTTTTTCAAAGAGACAGGGTCTCACTAAATACTTCAGGTTGGCCTTAAATTAACTATGCAGCCTAGGCTAAAATCAAATTCATAGCGATCCTCCTGCCTCAGCTTCCCAAATGCTATGCCTACAGGTGTGTACCATCATACCTGGCTGTACTTTAATTTGTAAGTATGTGCTTTCCTAAGAATATGATGTAGTATTTAAAACTTTAAATGCTATTTTAAACTTGAGCTTACCAACAGAATAAAACTGTTCAAATCATTTTCCAAAGCAAATGACTCCTCTTCCAAGTCTTTACTTATTAAAATAACATTTTATCATCAGATGATTCTCTTATCTTAAAGAGCACAGGACTTGGGGAGGGTGAGGAGCAAACATCTGGAGGAAGCTCTCATTCTGACTCATACAGAGAATGCTCTGTGTTCTCCCCGGTCTTAACCTCTATGTTCATTACTCAGAGATGGCTTGAAGAGAATCATTTCTGTCATATATTATGAAGGGAATAAATAAAAATTAAAAATAGGGGGCAATAAAATACACTGGGTCACAGACACAAAACAAGGTTTGAGGCCAGAGACAGAAGAGCTTGAAGACTTGAGCCAAGAAGTGTGCACTTTTGTGACTAGAAAGCACTTGTCAAACCTCAACATGTTCACAAATCACCTGGGAATCTGAGGTAGAGCCTGAGATACTATATTTCCAACAACTCAGATGATGCCAATACTGGGTAACTACATTTTAAGCATCAAGAATATATATAACAAACAATCATTACAAGTCTGGCCCCAGTGTATTCCAGGAAGGCTACACCTGATCACATTATTGGACCAGCCAGACTGCAATGGGAAGAAGCTGTAGACAGCAGTCCTGTTACCAGAGCCCCACTCCTTGACATTCTCGTTTAATTGCTCTGGAGAACGGCCCAGATTTCCATATTTGTAAAAAGTTCTCTAGGGAATTCTGAGGTACAGCCAAGGTTGAAAACTTCTGCTATAGATCATATAGTAAGTATTACAAACTCATTCAGGCAAAATGGTTGGTGACCTAAACTATGGCAATGGAGAAGAACAATGATGGGACGGGACTTATAACATACTGCAACTGTAGAAGAGTCCTTAGTAAATACCCAGGCAGGAGTGCAGATGAATGGCCATAACACTGCTTCTTTCACTTAAAGACAGTTTGGTAAAATGGGTAAGAGCACAGAAACTGGAGCCAGACTGCCTACTGTTTACTAGGAGTTTATGGGTATAATTCTACTAGGTTAAATTCCTTAACCTCTTTATTCCTCGATTTCCTTATCTGTAAACTAGGGATAATAACAACAACCAATACAAGTATGGTTTCTAGAGCTAACATGCTTGTAGAGCTGTGGCAGAAAGGGCTATTAATGTTTTTAATATTATTAGCATGGTACATCCTCTATTGTGGTCTCTCCAAGATACAAAATTGTACATAAAACTAAGGTAGAGAAGAAAAGGTTTTGAGAGTTGAAACGATAGACTTGAAAATATTGGCTTATGAATCCAGCTGGATCTCTGTGGTGCCCGCCACCTCCCTCCAGCCCAGATACCCTCCTAGAGGTCTCTAAAAGCGAAAGTCTCAGAGTTCCTACTTGAATTGCTGGTCCTTGGTGCTGCGTGTCTTGGCCAGGAAGCGCTCGGCCAACTTCTCCAGATTGCGAGAATAGTCCATCTCAATCTCAGCCTTCTTCCGGAAGAAGTCCTGCAGGTCCTGTAACAGCTGCACCCGGAGCTCACACTGCTGGTCCAGGCATTTCATCTGCTCTGTGAGCTGAGCCCGGATCTCTATGACAAGGAAAGGGAACACGGTCAGAAGGATTACTCCACCATGCACAGTGGCATTTACCCTCCATTTACTCATACCTTGTCCCCTAGGAAATCCAGCATCTTTAAGAAAAAACCCTAAAGTGTAAACTGGCCATTTGGGGAGGATGGGGGATGGGCATGAAGAACAATGTGGATGGGGAATCTGCTGAATCATTTAAAAGAAGTTACTTATTACACATTATACTATTCAGAGCTGCATGCATAATGAGCCATTTACAATGTTTCTGACACGGTGCCAGAATTTGGGTTTTCCTTTGGCAAAGGCCCGAGTCAATTATCACTCAGTAACCTTACAAGGTAACTACCACTTTATCTCCATTTTCTAAAATTTTATTTTATTTTTTGAGATAGGATCTCACTTTTGTAGTTCAGTCTGGCCTTCAACTCACTATGTAGCCTGGGCTGGCCTCAATCTCAGCAGTCCTCTGCCTTATCTGGGATTACAGGCACGCACCACCATACCTAGCTATCTCCATTTTAAAAATGAGAATACTGAGTCTTGAAGAAGTCAATCTATTAAGTAATAGAGCTTGGACTCACATTCACACGGATTACTTTTTCCCACTGTTTCAAAATGTTTCCCATTACCATGTATCTTCAGGTCAGGATTATTTTTATGAAGGTAGAAAGAGACCTGTCTAAGATCAAATGGTGACCATAAAAAACAAAGCAAGCCCTATGACTTCTAGGCAAACAAACTGTTCAACATCAATCCTATTTCATAATTTCCAATGACAAAATATAAACCAATCTTCAAAAAGTGACTTGGGAGCTGGGAGTACAGCTCAGCAATAGGTCACCTGTCTAGCATTCATGAGGCCCTGGGTCTAAAAAACAAGGGAGCAGGTTTTGACCTGAAAAAAATGTTTGTCACTCTCCCCCCTCCCTGGCGAAATCATTCATATCTCTGTTGCTTCACCCTTATGGCCTTAGTCAGAGCCAGAAGTATTTCTGGTTAAGCTCTGGCCTGGCAGATTTCTAGCCAGCCAATTCCGGATAGTCCCTAGGCTACCATCTCAGCAGAACTTCAGCCATGGCAGCTGGCTTCAGATGCAACCAGATCTGTCTTGAACGCAACACTGAATGTCTTACTGACAAGAGAGCTGGCACTCACAGGAAGCAGTCTGCCAATGCCAGACTGCTTTCCAGCTCAGAGAGGGCCCGTAGTGTGCTGATGTTATATACCAAGCCCCATCTGAGTCAGAAAGGAGCCATTTCTTTCATCCCCTTCCCCTGAAAGTGTGCTCAGCTCCAAGTATATTAAGATGTGACAGCGACTCTAACACCAAGCAAAAACACACCCATATTATGTCTTTCCTTATGCATGCTCCAAATTCACCTCCCACATGTACACAGCTCACAATGCTTTTGTCTATGTTATCTGTTGCATGGCAGTAGCAGGCAGGGAGTACCCAGAGCTAGGTAGGTAGATAACTCAGAGGTAAGTAAATATCAGGACCATGATGTTTAAATGTTTGCGAGAATTCTTTCTTGAAGCAACGAAGATAGGTAAAAGTACATCTGGCTTTGCTTTAGAGTAGCTGCGGGTCCATAATCTATCCCCATCTTCATTTTTGTGTTTCAGCAGATATCATTGTGTAACACACACATCTAGCCCATCACCCTCCACACCCTCAGGTCTCCTTCTTGCCAACCACTAAAGCCAGCCAGCTCCACAGTAACCTCACCTGAACTGAAACTGAGCCCCAAAGGATTGTTTCAAGCAGACAGTAGGCTGCACAGAAAAGCTGCCTACCTCATCATTCATCAAAGCTCTCTTGTTCTTGTATTTTGGAGTCTGATTACAAGGGTCCTGGGGGGAAGATCTGCAGAGGTCATGTCAGGTATCTGGTTCTTACCAGAGATTTCTGGGTCTCTTTCAGGAAACAGCCCTTGTCAAGACGGTTCCTGAAGGTATCTGCTCCCCTTCCACGTATTAATGCAAAGCTACCAACAGCAGCCTTTGGATAGGCAGACTGTGGATAGGGAACACCCAAAAAGCTTACTGATAGCACTTAAAACTTGCCAATTGAATAAGTATCATCTTGTAGGGTAAAACAGCTCTCCAGTTACCCAGTGGAGAATAAACTTACAAAGCGAAATGGAAGGAAAGGAGTGCTGTCCAGCTCCTTTGAGGAACCTGGAATTCACTTAAGACTGCCTTGCTCTAGGGGTTCTAGACAGAGTCCTGAGACCCATGAAGTTCACAGGCAGAGCACTACATAGTTGTCCTATTCAAAGAACATGCGCATCAAGAGAAATATAACACCAGATTGGGATCTCTGAAGGTATTTCTGAGTGAACTTGAGATCACGCCCCTCTCCACCTTCCAGCTGAAGTATGCTTTAGGCTCCTAGAATTAAGTCTGAAGCAGCTCACTGATTTTCTAATAGCTGGGTTTTGTTTTGGTTCCTTTTCTTTGGTACTTGGGACTGAACTCAGGGCCTTCACACTGAACTACATCCTAGCCCTTTCTTTTTTATTTTAAAACAGGGTCTTGCAGAGTTGCTAAGTTGCCCAGGCTGAGCTCAAACCCATGATCCTCCTGTCTCAACTTCTCAGAGTGCTACTCACAAGCAAGTGCCATGATGACTGTCCAGTCCTTGTTTCCACTAATCCTCAACTAGGCTGGATTCCCTTCCTCACTTCCTAAACCTACTCTACAGGGCAGCTTTAGAAGAGGTTTCCTTTTTTTTTTTTTTCTTTTCTTCTTTGTTTTTTTTCTTTCTCTCCTGTGAATGGATTCTGAGATGTGCCTGTAAGTCAGAGGGCAGAGAAAGAGAGAAAGTGATAGCCCATCCCAGATCCAGAAGAAAGGCTCTCTTAATAAATACAACCTGCTCCCATAGTTCATTTGTGATATGACACCACTGAGTATCTCCTCTCCCTCACAACCCACACTGAAAGAGAAGCCCCTCCCTGTGGCCCCTTCCAGAGCACAGACACAGACATTAAGGGGGACTCTAGCCACCTCTCCCCCATGCCTGAAGCCCAAAACAGAACAGCTGGTCCCTTCAGAGCAGAATGTGCTGCTTCTGGCTTTGCTACTGCTGCTGCTGGGCTGCTAAGATAAACAGTGATCCCCAAGAAGGCAGCTGTGCCAGCCCCTGTCCTCTGTCCGTGCATAGAACAGGCAGGGAACTGAAGGCTAGCATGCCTGGGCCATGTGCCCAGGCAGGAGGCTCCCTGCACCCTGGCCTACCAATAAGCCACAAGGGCAGGAAGAAGAAAGAGGCAATTTATAAAAGCACAGAAGAATTCTTTATAGTTCCTTTGTGTGCTTGGGCAAGAATGTACATACATATGTGTGCGTATTCAAAGACATACACCACCCACACCATGCTTCACCATGCCCACTCAAAAAGCCTTTACAAATCCACTTCACAGTAGGATGAGTGGTCCTGACAAGAGAGGGATGATGGGCTTTTGAAGGCTCTCTATCTGTAACTGCATGGGAAGAAATCAAGCTTGTACTTTCTAAAGCAGCTGTGTCTCAGGAGTATAAATAATTTCCTTGACTATCAAAGTACTAAAGTCATCTCGAACTATGTGCAATGATACATCAAAAAATTACCCCTCCTGAGTGCCCAATAGAGTCTGTTTATTCAGCAAATCTTACTGAGCCCCTCCCACATGACAGGTGCTAGGTGATGGTGACAAAGGATAACAAGGCAGACCTATACCATGCCCTAATAAAGCATGGCTTGACGAAGGAGAAAAATAAGAAAGCAAAGAGTGTTCTTGGTTTTCTTACAGTTGGTTTTGCTTGATCTTTACTATTACAAAGCCAGAAATAAGCCCAACCTAAAGACTTAAGGTATAGACATCATCCGTAACAGAAATTAAGCAACAGGCTAAGAAAAGTTCAATGTCCACTGATTCTCTTCTATTATGTTTTTGAAATGACACTTTAATAGAAATTTTACCTTCTCCTGCAAGAGACCCAAAGTGTTTTAAACAAGTTTCCTAAGAATCAGGATTGACCTTTGACTAAAGTTTCATTCAAAGATTCAAAATTTAACTTTACTATTTTGCAATTAAGATAGTGGTGATGGTTGCATAATTTTGTGAGCGTATTTTAAAAACAACACTTAATCGTCACTTTTAAGTGTGCATTTTATGATGTGCATGAATTATACCACATTAAAAACAGATTTAAAAATACAACTCCACCAAATAACATATTATGTTAAGCACCAGCTAGAGGGAAAATGGCCCAACAAATACACACTAAAAAGGAGGAGGAATTTTTGGCTTCCATGTCTCCATTGTATGGGTTGTCAGTTTTGGGGGGGTTTTTGTTTGTTTGTTTGTTTGTTTTTGTTTTTTGGTACTGAGGATTGAACTCATGACCACATGCTTGCAAGGCAGGTGTTTATGCCACTGAGCTAAATCTTCAGCCTGGTTAAGTCAGTTTTGCACTGAATATTTCTAAAAGAAATCTTGGAAGCTCCCCCTCTGGACAGCAAACTTGGCCCTGACATTGAACTCCACTGGTGGCAAAATACTAGCCCATCACTTCCACAGGTCTCAGATCAAAACCTAGCAAGGAATATTTTTGTGCATAAGTTCAAAATCAGAATCAGCAGATACACCCAAAACAGCTTTCCTTGGGAATTCTGCCCCCTTGCTTGAGTTTAACCACAGCTGAGATACTAATTACACCTTTTCTAGGAGCTAGGAGGCAGCTTACTTTCTTTTTAGAAAGATGCCAAAGGATCACAATAAATCTATAACTGGAAGAAAAACTAGCCCTAATAGGATACTGACTAACAAAAACAGGGCCCTGTCACACTGACAATCACACAGCCACTAACACCTGCCAATGCAGAGGGCACAGTCCTCTAAAAACTATCCTCACTTCAGAGAACACCAAACTGTAAGTGGGGGATGTGTTCAGCCTTGGGCTTTCGATTCAGAGAAATTACCTCATTTTTTTCCTCCTTCCAAAATTCATT